CACTCATTGCAGCCCAGTTTAGGGAGCTGAGTCCGAGGCAGGTCACTGAGTTAAGAATACAGGTGCCATGTCTTCTTGGTAATATCAGTACCCCCTCCCCTTCCCAGTAACCTGGTCCCCTTACCCCTGACCATCCATCAAAAACACCCTGACTCTGCAGTCCCACGTACAGCCCTAAATTCCCCTGTTTTTTCTGCCAAGGACTTTCCCCTCAGTTCAGTACATCGAGGGATCTGACTGTTACCATGGGACTGTGCAGGCGGTTGCCTGGTGTCACTTGGTGTCACCCCCTGTGATTCTGATCATTTGAAAGTCTCACTATAGCCAGGCTTCAGCGTTGAACAACTATTATTGTCAAATTTGGGCTCTGCCGTGATCCTTTAAAACAGCTCCAGTTGAGTTCCCTTAGAAGGCAGACCAGGTTTTCAAAAAGATCTACTTTTAGTCCTTACTAAAAACCAGATCTTACTAGGAACCAGTGAGTTGTCTGGATTGGGTTCTGTAGGAGGGTAAGCTCCCTCTGAAGCTGGCAGAGCACCTGAGAGCTGTAGGAGGACAGGGACAACGTGTCTTCACCTGATCCATGGCCTGGTAACCCCAGGGCAGCATCGGACAGTGCTTAGGCCATCAGCAAAGCAAGGGCATGGGAGGGAGGGAGGAGGTAAGGGGAGGAAAATGTTAGAAATAATCTGACATTTTATATCAAATCAAAACACCAAAGTAGTCGTTACGGAGGGAGGGGGGCGTCAGACCTTTGGGACTTCAGAACATAGTATTCCCTTTATTTCAACTTACTTTTTAAAATTAAATTTATTGGGGCAACATGGGTAAATAACATTGTATAAGTGTCAGGTGTACAGTTCTATAACACATCATTTGTGTATTGCACTGTGTGCCCACCACCCAAAGTCTAGTCTCCTTGTGTCACCATGCATTTGACCCCCTTTAACCTTATATTTCCCCTCCTCCCCCTCTTCCCAATCCTCATACTGTTGCTTAGCCCTAGAGATATCACTTTAATCCTTTTATCCTGGGGCCTCTGAGGACCTGGTCCATCTCAGTTGCAGGAGAAAACTTCTCTGAGCAGATCAGGCCTGAGTTGGCCTGCTCCTCTTTGGGAACTTTGCCCCAGGTAACAGGCAGTTACAACATCAAGGGAGAAAGGAGTCCCTGGTCAACTCACCAAACAGGCTCAGTAGCTCAGACTTCAGCCGGGCCAACTTCTCTTCTGTGTGTGCTTATTGGCCTACAGGCACGTGCCCTGGAGTTCACCTTTTCTTGGCTGGACTGGACTCCTCTGGAGAGAGCGTGTATGGAGGACACAGGAGAGGCCTCCGGGGGAGAGGATAGTGTAGCTCTTCAGAGGAAAAGCTGGGTCGTTCCTCTGGGGCGTGTGTTTGCATTTTAGAAATGGAGGGTCCTCAAACCTGGGAATGAAAGATCAATTATGGAGAGGAGGCATGGATGGATGAAGTGTGTCTTCTTTACAATTTTTACTCATAGATTTCAAGAGTTCCGTTTTCTCCAAGAAACACAGAGGTGACAATTCTAGCATCTATCTTGAGGGAGCTGTCTGTGCAAATGATGTCTGATCTTTTATGAGAGGACGTGGAAGTTTGTACAGGACTCAAGTGTTAGTTTCATATATATATATATATATATATATATATAATGAAAGGAAGGAAGAGGGAGAGAGAGATTGAAACATCAATGATGAGAATGGTTGATTGGCTGCCTCCTGCACTCACCCTACTGAGGACCAAGCCCACAACCCAGGCATGTGCTCTTGACAAGAATCAAACCCAGGACCCTTCAGTCCCCAAGCCGACACTCTATCCACTGAGCAAAACCAGCCAGGGCTAAAGTATTAATTTCTAACTAGAGGCCTGGTGCATGAAATTTGTACACTCTGGGGGGTGGGGGGTCCCCTCAGCCCAATCTGCACCCTTTTGCAGTCTGGGAGCCCTCTGGGGATGTCCGACTGACGGCTTAGGCCAGGTGGAGTGGGCCTAAGCCAGTAGACAGACAACCTTAGTGCTGCCACAGAGGAAGGAGAGGCTCCCACCACCTCCACTGCGCTCACCAACCATGAGAACGGTTTCTGGCTGAGCAGCACACCCCCTGCGGGAGCACACTGACCACCAGGAAGCAGCTCCTGCATTGAGTGTCTGCCCCCTGGTGGTCAGTCATGTCATAGTGAGCACTTGAGCAACCTTAGCATATCATTAGCATATTACGCTTTGATTGTTTGAACAGCCAACTGGACAACTGGACACTTAGCATATTAGGCTTTTATTATATAGGATGTATATGTGTACCCAATGTATGTTTGGTAGGCAAGTGTGTGTTTCTCAGTGTGAGGGCCATCCAGACAAGAATGTGAGCTTGTTCCTGGCTGGTGTTGCACAGTGGTTGAGCATTGACCCATTAACCAAGAGGTCCCAGGTTCGATTCCTGGTCAGGGCACACACCTGGGTTGTGGGTTTGATCCCCAGTAGGTGGTGTTCAGGAGGCAGTTGACTCTCATCCATGTTTCTATCTCTCTATCCCCCACCCTTCCTCTCTCTCTCAAATCAATAAAAACATTAAAAAATAAACATACATTTAAAAAAAAGAAAAAAGAATGTAAGCTTGTAAATGTTTGGATATTGGAACGGCTAACCACACACAAGCAAAGCAGATGTTTCAATGAGTTCTCAAATATTTTAATGAGAGCCTCAATTTTCGTGATAAAGAGAGGACAGGAAAAAAAAAAAAAAAAAAAGAGTTACTCCTTTTCCTTTGAGTGAAGTAAGTTCTAACCAGGAGAACAGGCAGGCAGGCAGCTCAGGGACATACACACGTAGTTTAACTTTTCTCCTCAGTGGGGAAGTGATTCCTGGTGTGGCTCAGAAACGAAACCTTCCTCTGAGGAAGCTTCCTGTCCTTCCTGATGAGCATGTGTGCTGCTCTAATGACTCAAAGCTACGCCAGGCGCCATGGGGGCATGGAGGAAGTGAACTTCTTCTTTCCATAGAAAAGCTCGTAGACAATTTCCTCTCCTCCGAGCTGGTGACCTAGGTCCCCTCCCCCCTCCCGCCTTCTCAGAGGGCCACTCGTGGTCCTATGTCACATGCATGAGCCAGGACCATTGGACTCGCTACAAGATGTGAGGTGCCCAGCTTGGGTGAGTGGTGTGGGCACCTGGCAGGCCTTCGGGGATTGGCTGCAGAGGAGGTGGTGGCACCAGGCCTGGCTGCTGGCTTCACCTCCATCTGGGCAGGAGGGCCGGGCCCATTGTGCTCCTGGCCTCGGGAGGGTGCAGGGTCATGAGTGAGAGGATGCTGTGGTCTCTGCCAGCCGGAGGAAATGGCCTGCTTTTGTTTCCTACCCGGCAGGAAATGGGACCCGACGCCATGTGGTTCTGGGCAGTGCAGCAGGGCATGGGGTGTGCGCTCTTGGAGGCGCTGACGCCTAAAGGCCACTTGTGAGGGTCTGTGTGTCCCCCGCCACCACTGTGCCCATCTTTTATGCATCTGAAGCCTGCCCGCCCGGTAATCCAAAGCAGAGTTCCGGGAGACAGGCGTGCCAACAGGCGCGGGGAGCGGGGAAGTGCACCTGTAGAGTTAAAAAATGCATGACCCTTTCCCTCAAAGAGAGAGGATGCCAGAGAGAGGCCCGTCCTGGAGGGCGACCGCTGCGCCCTGATGCATAATTCACGGGCCCACGCTGCTCCGGGCAGATGGCGATATTAAATCGTGATTGATGCTAAGAGCGGCCCGGCGCTCAGGAAGGTCTCCCAGAGGCTTCTGGAGATTTCCAGGTCTCTGGTGCCTTCTTGTCCTCTCTTCTAAGGTAGTCTTTAAGCGGAACCGCCCCCCCTCACCCCCTCATTTCCCAGGAACCCCTCCTGGGGATGGAAGATCTTCACTCCCAAACATGTGAGAGTCTTCAAATGTCATCGCCCACCTTTTCTGCCTTTGAAGCGGCCCCATTCCCTCCTGGCACTTGTGGAGCTGTTGCCTCCAGCCTAGTATGGTGGGGAGGGCGGGGCGGGGGGTGTGGAGGGGGATCTCAGCCAGGCTCCACCAGTCCCTTCCCGAGGGCTGCTGACCAGGGACAAAGCAGCAGCACACTCTGCTGGTGGTGACCAGGCAGGAGGGACCCTGGGCAGAAAGCTGGGGGGGGCAGGAGGGGGGGGAAGTGAGATGGGGGAGCCAGCCGTCCACTCAGCACAAAGCACTCTTTGTGGAGGCGCTGAGGTCAGAGTTGGTGGATTCTCCTATGCAGATTTTCCACTCCGTGCATAATGAAATCATAAATCAAATTTGTGGTGGATGTGGAATTAAGTGTTTGGGAGTTTTGCTTTTGCTTTCTTTAAAAAAAAAAAGAAAGAAAGAAAGAAAAAGAAAGGCTGAAATCACCCTCCAGGGCTGTTCTGGCCCCAAGCTGAAAACGCGTCTTCCACATCACATGTAATTGTTACCAGGCTTGTGGGTCGGCACCACAAAACCGCTCTTGTCAGTTCCTGGAGCCGTTACTTCTGGCGGCCTGGCCGGGGCTGGGCTGGGCCGGGAGGCCCGAGAGCATGAAGGATTTATGAGGTAGAGATAGGGGAGAGGCTGGGCGAGCGCCGAGGACGACGGGCCCAGGCCAGGAGGCAGGAAAAGGCAGGGAGGCCTGTTAACTTCACAGCTTCCTTGTTCTTCTTCTTCTTTTTTTTTAATCCCAGAGCATGTGATTGGGAACATTGGCCACCACTCTCTAAAATATTTTTATTGGGGGGGGGGGGGGAGAGAGAGAGAGCGAGCGCTCAGCCGTGTGAGGAGGGGGAAGATGGGCTGAAATGACCTCTTCCACGGCATGAGTAAGTAGGTTAGCTTCCTGGACTGCCATAAAAGGTCTGTAAAAATCCTTCCAGGCCACTGGTAGCACTGGTAGAGAGAGAAACAGGGAGACGGGGGGAAAACAAATGCCGGGACATATTTGAAGTTCCTTGGGTTGTTTGCCTTCTCTTTCAGACCCACCCTGTGGCGGTCGTTTGAATTCCAAAGATGCTGGCTACATCACCTCGCCAGGGTACCCCCAGGACTACCCGTCCCACCAGAACTGCGAGTGGATTGTTTACGCGCCCGAACCCAACCAGAAGATTGTCCTCAACTTCAACCCGCACTTCGAAATCGAGAAGCATGACTGCAAGTAAGCACCCTCCTGCCCGCTGAGCATCCTTGAGAACCTCTCCCTTCCTCTCCCCCCACTCCGCCCGCCCTCCCTCCTTCCAGCCCGGCTCTGACCACAGCGCCACCTAATGGCCACACCCACAATGGACCTGCGAAACACTGGGCCTGCTAAAACAGTGTGGGATCTGGGTCCCAGGGGAACCCAAGATGGCATGCTTTTTCAGGAGGAAACAAAGGCCAGTAGGTCCCATACTGCAGAGGAAAGAGTGGGTTGTGTAAGGAACAGCATCCTATCTTCAAAAGCTGGCAGTGGGGGGATTCCCTGTGGGGGAGCTGGGTGGGGGGTGGACTACAAAACCTCAGCTCTTGGCGTTGAGACTTGCTACAAGATGTCAGGTGCCACCTTGGAGATCTCCCCGTTTCCACTGCTGCGACCACACGTGGAAACCCCACCGGCTTCCTTGGTAAAACAGCAGCCCAGTCCCCACGTGGAGATTCCCTCGACGTCCACCGTGGACACGCGGGCTGTTGTTGTGGGGAATGGCCGCTAGTTTCCTTGCAGCTAAAAATCGGCATCTTCACGGGTCTATCTAGCCTGTACATTGCTTCTTGGTGTCTGTGCCACACAGGTTAGCGTCTCCAGGCTGGATTTTATCTAATAAGCACTCTCCTAACTGCCTTGTAACTATCACCCCACTCCACTCTCACTAGGGCCCTGGGAAATGGGGTCCTCACCACGTCCATGCTGCCAATGAGAGCAGCCAGTGACTCTGCTGATCTCACACCCTCGGCCCTGTCACCGTGGAGACGTGTGGCTCAGGAGGCACCACGTGGACATGTCGACAGCTGGCAGTGCTTCAGCAATGCCGTGTTAACACGGAGGCTCTATAAATCAAGGCGCGGGAGCAGGCAGGCCTGTCATGTCGAGAATGCGAATGCGTGTTTCCTCCCTGAAACAAAAGGGAAAGTTCTCTGTGCGGAAGGTCATGTCTGGCTCCAGAGCAGCACCTACAAGGTGCCCCTGCTCCAGTGGGTGCCCAGTGCCCCCTTTTGGTGAATAAGTAGTCTGAGCCTGTCCTCTGGCCAAGGCAAAGCAAGTGATGGAAAATTCACCACGCTGCTGGGGAAGGGACAGGACGCGGACCTGGGTCCAGCCAGCGCTTCCTCATAGAGGCAGGACCCTCTGTCATCAGGCAGGAAACGGGACCCTCTGTTATCAGGCAGAACCCTCTGGAAACACTGGAAGACAGAGCCCACTAGGTGGTACAAAGCACACTCACGTTGTTGGCATGACGGTGGTGCCCGCTCTTTGATTTATAGGGCCCTCGTGTTAACACGGCATTCCCCGTGAACCTGTGCATCCATGTCACCGCTGCCCTCCGAAGGCTGCTTTCCACCCCCGCCATGGTTTTCCCCGAACGAGAGTTAGTCTTTGTTGAGGACCCAGGGTTTCCCGGATGGATGCCTCATGTGACAAAGAATCAGAAGGCCCCGTTTCTAACCGCAGATCATCTCTTGACTCATGAAAGGACCAGGGCAGCTCCCCGGTTCCTCTGTCCAAGTTCGGTGCCCGTCCTCGGACACGTTTGCACAGAACCGCAAGGCTGCCCATTCCCTGCCAGTGAACTTGACCAAGAATTTCTGGGAGAAGGGCTTCTTTATGAGGTGTTTTTGCTCTCGGAGTCTCTGGCTGGGCTGCAGGAGGTTGGCACAGACTGAATCGTAATGCACCGAGGGCTTGGGTCTGAGCTCAGAGAAATTTGACTAAGCACCTCTCTTGACGGAGGGCCAAATTCTGTTGTGCTGATGCCAGCAAATCTCCCAGGGAAATTGCTAGGAGGTCATCCTATGTATATTCATAGCGGCCGAGGGAGAAGGCACGGCTTTGGAAAGAAGCACGCAGGAGCTGGTGAGCATGGCTTTAAACATGTTCTAGAGTGTGAAAGGCCAGGGAAACATGCTCCGCAGGGAGCCCCTTCCCCTCCCAAGACCGGGTTCCAGGGATGGGGGAACTCAGATGGCTGCAGCCCATGGGGAAGAGGGCAGAGTCCTTAATGCTGAGCTGGAGCAGGCCCATGACAGGTTATCCTCCAGTTTATCATCTTCACTAAGTAGCTTCCTGTTTTCCTTTCCACTCCCCCATTCTGTGCTGCTGGCTTGAACCAGAAAGGCCAGGAAGGTCAGAGAAAAACCTTTCTGGGGTCTCTCCCCCCCCAGCACCAAATTGTCAGGAAGGGTCTGTTGGGGTCAAGCCCCTGCTACTTAACCCTGTCCTTCATTCTCTCCCCACTTCCCCCCCCCCCCCCCGCCCCCGTGTCCCCTCCACTCCCCATGTCTCTCTCACCCCGATTCATTTTTGTATTTAGAGAGACACATCCGGTCCTCTCAGCCTCTCCCTCTGCAAGGTATTTTGAGATTCTTCCCTGGCCATTTGCATTCAGAGGCTGTGGGCTGCTTCCCCACCGCCTCCGTTCACTTGCAAAAGGAACAATTAATCTAATTAAAGTCCTGGAAGTTCTGTCAGGTTCCTCTTCTCTTTCCCCCTCTCGTTTCTGTTCTGAGGGAGCTCCTGGGTTTGGAAAGCACTTACTGGCAAAGGCACGCAGCCTCCTCTCTCCTCTCTCCTCCGATTCCCAGTGGCTGTGGCTGTGGCTCTGGCAGCCCTTCGGGTGGGTGCTTACCAAGAGGCGCTGCCTGAACCATCCTTCTGATGAGAACACTGCAGTGACACTCTGAGAAAAGGGAGATGAATAAGGAAGTCAGAAAAGCAGCCAGCCCCTCCTGCTCCCTCCACCCCCGCTTCTTCCTCGCTGCAGGATGATCTGCAGAGTCTGCCCTGGGACCCAGAAATGGGCCCTGATGGAGAGGCTGGCCTGGCCACGCATTGGCCCTCTATGCCTTGACACCAACCCAAAGGACTAGGCCAGCACGTCTCAGCCTTTCCAGCTCCTGGCACACATACGTTAATCACTAAAAGCCTTCAGCAATCCAAAAAATGTATCTTTGCCAATCTGACCCAAAAATATAGATGTAATTTTGGTTCATTCACACCGGATGGCTATTGTGTTGGCTGTTGTCACTGTTTTATTTGACAATCTAAGGGAAAGAGGTCAGTCCCCCTGAGTAAATGGTCAGGTATTGCCTGTTTTAGAAATACTGGTGTCAGCCCTGGCTGGTGCGGCACAGTTGGTTGGAGTGTCAACCCATGCACCAAGTTATTGAGGTTGCGATTCCCGGGTCAGGGCGCATTACCCAGGTTTCGGGTTCGATCCCAGTCAGAGTGCATGTGGAGGGCAACCAAGCAGCGTTTCTCCCCCACATTGATGTTTTCCTTTCTCTCTCTCTCTCTCTCTCTCTCTCTCTCTCTCTCTCTCTCACACACACACACACACACACACACACACACACACACACACACACATACCAATTGAAAATCACTGGTCTAAGCGATTACTGACTACACTCCAGTCAGAGACCTTTCCCCTAACCTTTGTGTGTGAATTTTGTTCTGTCTGCTTGGAAACTTTCACTCACAGCCGCATTGCCTGGCCATTCTTAGGAATCCAGGCCCCCAGCACCCAGAGGCTGCTCCTGGGGCCTAGTCACCAGTTGTGGGCAGCAACCAGAGGCCCGAGGCCCTGCCAGATTGGTGTGGCGCAGGGACAAAAGGGCAGGACTCGGGCCACCTGAGCAAACAGGGAGAAGCCACTTCTGTGGTGAGGAGAGGCTACTGCTGGCTGCCTTTCACCTGAGTCATCAGCCAACTGGCCGAATGCAAGGGTTTTAGAAACAAATGCAATAGAACTGAATCTTTCTCCATTTCTGAAGTCTAAAATCGATGCCTTTGAAAAACACCCACTGCATATGATACATGGCTTATTCACGAGTTGTCCCCACGGAGGCATGGATGACAGCCCAGCCCAGCCCAGCCCAGCCCAGCCAAGGCTCCACCCTGTAAAACTAAATTCAAGAGCCTGCGTTCTTTTAAGAATTGGTCATTTCCAGATGGGTATGGAGAGAAAACATGTTTTACAAAGTGCAAAAGCCACTAAGAAGACTTGGCAGAACATTTCTTCGGCCAAGAACCCGCACAGAAGCTCTGCACTAATGAGCGTGTGTGCGCGCAGCACGGCAGTATCTGATTCACCTGCTCGGGGGTGGGGGGCATGGGGGGTGCAGAATAGTGCTCCATCCAAGTGAAACCTCCAGCTACTGAGACATCCCCCCTCTAAGTTCCAGAAGTTCTTTCTACTATACAAAGGTTGTCTGGTAAAAGGCCTTCTGAAACCTGTACCACACTTCCCTGTCTTCCAAAACCTAAGGTGAGTCAACATTTCCCCCCCCCCTAAATGTCACTTTTTGCGACAGGCTGGCTGGGTCAGGTCATATTTGGAGTTTTTGTTGACCTTTTAAAACTTCCCAGGCCTTCAGTTTCTGCATCTGCAAAACTGTGATGATGATGAAGATGATGATGATAACTACCTGTTAATGTAGATGCACTAGTACATTAGTTCCTGTGTCAGCATCTTTGGGTTGGTCCCAGGGACGGTTGGGACTTCTCTATCATCGCGCTTGCTGGCACTTTCTGTTCTGAGTAACCCGCCTCCTGGAGTCTTCTTCTGGCCTGTTCTGACCCTTTCCTAAGTGACAGCAGCCAACACAACAACAGCCTTCTTGTATGATTGAATGGTATGAATGAATCAAAATTATACCGGCTTTTTTTTTTTTTGTCAGATTATCAAAAAATATATTTTTTGGTGTGCCAAATTAGTTTAGTTTATGGGATGTTAGTAATTAGTTTAGGGGATGAGATGAAAAGGTTGAAAAGCCCAGCTTCCTTGGGAAGTTTTGGGCTTAGGTCTAAGCTTTGCCCCAAGCCAGTGCAACCCAGTGCCTGCTCATCCGCTTGCTCTGGGCAGCCAAGCTCACAGCAGAGTGAGAACGGGAACACGGTCACAGCAGTGCATGGAGTCCTTGGCATTGAGCTGCTCATGACCTTTCCTTCGGAAACAATCCCTC